CCCCTCATGCTGCTCTTATATAAACCCTAAAGGCTCCTCCCTCAAACACCCTGATCATCTTTTACTCTCAAGTGCCATTTACATGCTACCCCACAATCTAGGTTCTTCCCCAATCTTAGCTTAACTATTAATTCTTCTCCCACAGCCTCCTTCAAAGCCAGCCGCAAAGTCGCTCACAACTCAACATTGCTATATAACTACCGGATATCCTCGCCCAAGATGTACGCCTCTAACATAAAATTCTTCATATTTAACGCTGACACCTAATTCTAGTCGCCCATGTTGCACATCTCACGTTCATTGGCACGTGCTTAGTTGCTACTAACACCTGGTTCTACTTGTCAGCACCAATCTCATCAAACTCACTCTCCATGAACCAGATTGCTTAGTCCTCCATACAGGATCCTTTGACCATCTCTTTTATCATCATTGCTAATGCTAGTGAAAGGGATCACCTTAACTAACTACATTAAGATTCTTTGAAAGAAGGCATTCTTGCACATAACTGGCCTTGATTTCGCCCGTTGCCTAGTTTCTTTCCTTTTAACCATTGACGTCATTGCTGCCCCAAGAAAACAACCCGATCTTTTGAAATGAGGCCCAAGCTGCCTCATATCTAAGCAGTCTCAGGTTCTCTGTATCCCAAAATAACTTCTTTCTATTTGTCCAGAATCATAAAACATAGCCTCAAAAGTTATAATTATTTTGAAATAAACACATAGCAATCGCATTCATTGCTTCCTTAAGAAAACAATATATTGGAATAAGATACAATAGTATGTATGCGTCGACTACATTACCAAAGAAACAAAAGCAATCATTGCAAATTCAAATGCATCATGTAAATAACTGCAAAAAACATTCGCTAGGGCTCATCTCTTTTCTGATATATTTTATAGCTCTAAAAGAATGAAGAGTTAACATGATTAGCGTGTGCCCAGTGACAAGATGCATTGTACACATCCACAAACATCAAATGTTCACCAAAAACTTCATTGTAGATGGAAACGATAAATATATATAACTAAAGTCTTAGGCAAAAAAGGAGGTATAAAGACATTTACGAATTCATCCATCCCCACAAAAGTATAACACTGCACAAACCAATATATACAGCAACAGTCTACCGGGAAAGAGGGGAGCCCAATATACTGGTAGAGATCATGGAGCGAACCATTTCGAAGGCCAATGCTAGGTCCCTCGGGATTTAAGTAGTAGATGATGCCCTCGTACCTGATCCCATCCTTGGATATCAGGCTTACCAGGCTCCCGATTACGGAGTCTTCTGAAGGTTCCGATGTAGATGCCTCCGCCGCCATTGCTGCAGCTGATTTCTTCGCCGGAGAAGGAATGGAAAAGAGAACGGAGAGGAAGGAAAGAGAAGGAAGAGCTTGTGCCGCCAATAGTGCCGAGAAGGCTCGGCGGGGGAAGCGAGAGATGCACTTCCTGCGGCATGTGAGCCGCGGGCAAATTTAACGCACACTCCTCTTCGTCGAGATTTTTGGCACAAAAACGGTTTCTTTGAAGAAGTTCGATTTTTTTTTTCTATTTTATATTTTTATTAAAAGCAAATGGATAAATTATGTCCATTTAAATTCATTTTTTTATTCAAATATAATTTATTTTTCTTTTGAAAATTAAAAAAAATTCAATAAATGTTTTCTTATTTTTAATAAACTATTTCTAAAATATTGATAATTTAAGATGTTAGTAATAAAAAAAATAGATGTAATACACTAATACTTAAATTAAACAATGATATTATATTTTCTCTCTTTTTATCTATGTCGCTAGTAGTGCTAATTCTTTAAAAATTTTATGCATTTGCAAATAGCAATATTTATCTTTCTAAAATAATTTTAACAAATCAACTATATATTACCATTAAATATTATAAATATTAATTATATTAATAAATCTTGTGATAACAACACTTGAGAATAAAATGATGATGGTATAAGTGTTTTTCTCATGTTGGAGACTTCACAAAAAATTAAAAAATAAGTCTATTGAGTTGGGACCAACTAGTCTAGTATAAAATGCCGACAAAAGCTATATCATCAATTTTAAATTTTCAAAAAAAAAAAAAATGAGAGAGAATTTGATTTTTTTTTTTTGTGACGAGGAAGCATTGTCCTTAGGCCAGTGTAAACCCCGGTCAACCTAGCATGCAACCCACACCAATTTACACGGGCCAACACTTAAGGCTTTCACTGCTTGCCAAGGGATTCGAACCAGGGACCTGGGCTTTGCCCAGCCGGCTCTTCACCACCAAGACAAACAGTGGTGGATAGAATTTTAGGGGATACTTTTTCTATACGCGACTAATAAATCAAATTAGTCGCGTATAGAAAAAGTATCCCCTAAAATTAATTATACTCTCATATACATCTTAGAGAAACTCTAGACAAATGAAGTATCTTGTGTACTAGATTAAATGGATAAACATTAAATAGGCTATGATTTAAAAATCATCATCTGAATAGCATAATCTACATTTCAAAGCAGGACAAACCAGATCTTTTATGTGAAAAGGTTACCATCCGCACTTCACGAGAATCCCCTTAGCTGTTCTATCTCGCCAAACTCCATAAGCTCCTGTCTGAACCATATCCAAACTGAGAGCTATCAGCCGATCTACCCATTGCTTGTATCGAATCCCGATTCTGCTTCCCTCTGTTAAATCGATCTCTCTCGTAAAAACACCACAGCCGAGTCCCTCTCCCTCTCTGTCACTCACGTCCAATCTCCCAAGGCCTCCCGCACACATGAAAACCCTAGCATCCCTCTGCCTACCTCTTCCTTACTGCACTTTCATTATTTTCCTTATTGCAACTCAGGATTTTGAGTATGACTTTGATGATAACAAATATTACTGATTCTATCCTCATGTCTCATAGAATTTATAATGCATATTTATTATTATGTGTACTAACATTTCAGGTACATCATGCACTAGTCAATAAAAATTCAAGGCTCAAAATTGAATATTAAAGGGTATGTTGAAAGAGTCTATAAAATTTATTTATGTATTTTTAAATTTATTGAGTCAAGTCCCGTAAAAGTATGTGCTAGCCTGGTGATCGTGTACACACACTCATGTGAATGAGATAGAGAGAAAAATCAGAAGATTAATTTTTTAAACTAATTATATTGTGCGATAGGTAACGTGTTGTATGATTAGGTACTCAGAAAATTAGTAAATCAGCTAATTGTGTTATTAATGCTATTTGACTAATCGTACTAGACGATCGGTTGAAATCATGAATTTTAGCCACCAATTATTATTTATGCAATATTTTGAAATACAAATTATGTACTAATCATACTGTACAATTGATATCGTATTGTACTAGATAATTAAATATTGCCTAAATTAATCTTGTAATTAGGGATCAAATTTAGATTAATTGGTCCAGTAAGATCATACAATATGATTGAACAAATCACAGATGTCCACTCGAAAACAATCCCAATTCCCTAATCAAGGATGCAAATCCAATTTAGCTTTTTAATCATAGAGATTCATAGAACCAACCCTATCTCTCAACATAGAAACTGTATGACCATATTACTGCATGGGGTGATATTTTATCGTCACCAATCGTACATGACGATAATCAAATTTGATTTGACTAATCATACTAGACGATGATCATATCGTCCTTGATTATCAGCTCAAATACCTGAACTAATCGTACAGCACTTTACAATTCATACAGTATTAACATGGATATTTTGAACTAACACTACATGAAAATCGTCCATTACTGGCGGATTTTTCCGGCGGCTTATTTTCCTACGATTTTTTGGCGACCTAATTTTTAAAAAGAATTTACGGCGGCTTTCTAACAGATCTGTTCCCTGGTTTGTAATAATTTCTGCAAAATCATACATTCCTAATTTAATAAATTAAAATCATACATTCCTAATTAATTATTAATTTAATTATTTTTATTTAATTATTAACTTTAATATTTCATTTTAATTAATTTTTATTATAATTAATTATTAATTTAATATTTTAAATAATATGTTGTTAAAATAAAAATTACTTATTTTTTAATTTAATAACTTTTTTAATAGTTTATATTAATTATTTATTCATTTTACCATTTTATTTTATTTTATTTTTTAATTTAATTTTCGTAATTGTATTATTAAAATATAAAAAGTATGTTTGATGACATATTTTGCTACAAAGCAAAGTGGTTGAGTCTTTGTACTCCACACACTCATGTCCTGAGTTTGAATCACAGGCAGCGCGGTCAGGCAGGTAGGTGCGTAGGCAACTTGCACGGTCGGGCTTGTAGGCTGGTTCTGGTGGGCAGTGGGAGTAATCGGTCAGGCTGGCGGGCCTATGCAGGCAGTCGGGCATACGGACTAGTAAATACATGCAAAGGGGTAGGGTCGGGCGAATCGGCTGGCCGGCCATTATGGGCTAGCAAGCATGTGCACGCGAGCATCACACAATCAGACTAGCCGGGGCGAGGAGCCTAATCTTTAAATTATTTTTTTTATTTTTTGGTGGCCTTATTCCACCTGAAATAATTACCGCCGCAAAACACCGTCTGAAATATTTTTCCTACGCGGGTTTTACCAACATAAATTTTACCACCGGAAAGCCACCGGTACATACCCAATCCACTAAAAAATGATCAATTTTTGCTGAAAAACTCTGCCAATAATAGGTAATTTTCCTGTAGCGTAATCATATCATACAATCAGTCATTGTACTGCACGACCAGAGTCTGCATAATTAAGTTTTTAGGATTTTTTAAGTCCTTTACTTAAGCTTTCTCATAAGACTTTATAAAAGTCTTTTTTGTCATTCATTGAGTTGTTCTATCTGAAAGCTTGAAGAGAGAGCCTTGAGATAGGGAGAGAAATGGTGGAGTTTGAGAGAGGGAGAAGATACTTGTGGGTTTCAAGAGAGTGTGAGAGGGGTTCATACGGTTGCTTCGACAAACTTGCACTTAAGTTCCTCCATGAGTCAAGATTTATCTTGAGAGAAGTTTGGGGAAGAAGATCTCTTTGTGACAAAGGACCCGGCTACTCCGTCATACTAATGAATGTGAAAGTGATTGCAATATTCTCTGCCTCACCCGGAGGGTGAAAAAGATTTTAGGTTCTCTATTACACTGGGTTGGTGGAATAGATTTTGTAAGGACTTCTCTGCCTAGCTGTAGAGGCAAAAGGATAGACACTATAGTGTAGTGCAATACTCTGAGAGGAGTAATCCGGGGAGTGAACGTAGGTCATGGTTTGATCAAACCACCATAAACCTCTATTGTGTTTGTTCTGATTTCTTATTTTCTATGTTTTACTTATATGAACTTTTTTATTTGATAAGATTTCATGACAAATTTATTTCTATGATAATTGCTTGATGAAAATTTGTTGTTAGCAGTCCACTGTGTTGATTTAATTATCATCACCACTATTGTAACTCTTGAAAAGTTTATTAAATTTTGCATTAAGAGATAGAATTGCTTCTACATTAGTATGTCTAGGTACAAGTTCACTTAGGCTTAACATTCTTATCAAACTTTCAATTGGTATAAGATTAGTAATCCAAAATAGTCTTTTAAAAAAATTAGAGGGAAATGATTCATGACACATTTCAAAAATACGAACACCGCAGAACGTTACTCTATTACTCATCCACCTTTGTTTGACAACATATCGTTTGATTTCTAAAAAATACATATGTCTACTTTCTTGCAATTAATTGATTTTTGAATGTGAAATATGATTCAAACTAGTTATTCTGTACCGTCATATATTATTAAAGGAGTCAAAATATATATTACTTTCATTGAATGGAGTAGAGAAGAATAAATTTTTGCATAACTGAATGCTAAATGCTTAAATTACTTTTTATGTGCACTTAAGTCTAAAGATTAGATGATTGTTTCTACATGCATCACTGCAAGAAAATTTGTGATAGATTATGCATTATATATGAAGGTACTAGTAAAGTCAAATAACTAGGTTAACTATATTATTGCATGATTACGAACTTTTTCACAAGAAAGCTTATGAAAACATCTTAGACATGTATACTATATATACAAGGGTTGTGACATCATTGTATGCTTTAGGTATAGAACTTTTAAACTCATAGAAGGTCAACAGAAGTCTATGTTTTCTAACTAATAAATTTGATGTCAAAGTCACTACTATATGTGAATCAAAATACTTAAATGCTTATTCTATTGATAATCCGATCAGCTCACTCATTACTTACGAGCAAAGTGTTAGTTAAAGACTTTTGGATGTAGGTGATGAGAAGACTATAGTGCTAAAGGAAAAAAGATAGATAAAAATAGCTTGGGAGATCATATGAGAGTGAGGAGATAGCATTAACAACAAAAAAATTTAAAAGTCTCCTAATGTGCAAGCACAAGCATGAACAAAAATGGAGCAAAGGTAAAAATGATAAATATGACAAGTCTGCTTCTAATATTATATGTCTCCTAGTGTTTATACTGTATA